GGCTGCGCTAGGTGTTACGAATGTGCGCCAGCATTTTTGAGAAGATCGAATAACTGGGGGGGAGCTAGCGTCACCCTAGCCCCCCCCCCCCCCGAATATAAAGCCACATATCTTTTGACCTGTAGCTGCGCTAGCTTTCGAAAAAGTTGCGCTAGGTTGCGCTAGCTCTGGAGAACGAGGGCTAGCGTTTTGGATAAAAATTATCAACTGGGGGGGGGGCAGGTCTACTGAGCCGATCGAAAGACTGCTCAACATTAAAATTAAAAACAAACTTAATTATTAACCATTAAATAGAGGAGATGAGAAGTATTCCTCTACAAAGTAAAAAGCCTTAGCCAAAAGTAATTTTTTGACTTGTCTCTTGAAACATCTACTAGGTAAATAAACATTTTTTTACTCCGATAGTGAATAGATTTTTGAGTTAGCGAGGATGTGGGAACTGGTAGATCAATTACATGTGAACTTCTGGTATTGACTAAGGAGGGAGCATGAATGTTGGAGGAGTACTTCCTCTGCATGAGACACACCGATTCTAGAATCAAGATACAAGGCAAGGTTAAAATACGTCTGCCTATAAAGAATAGTCTGCAAGAGTTCCGTGGACTAAGACCACATAACGACCTTATAGCACGCTTCTGGAGAACAAATATGATGTTGAACAATGTTAATGAGCAAGAACCTTAGAAGCAAATGCCATAACTAAGATGTGACTCCATTAAAGAAAAATACACCCGTCTAGCAACCGATTCGCCCAGCTCAGCCTTGACAGTTCTAACATCATGCTGATGATATTTTTTTACATAAATGTTCAGTGTGTTTGTCAAACCTGAGCTGATCATCAACAATCAGGCCAAGATATTTGGTCTCCATGCTTCTGCCCTGCCTATAATAGTATCATCCAGAAAAACATTACCAAGATTACACTTAAAATTCATGATGGATGTGTTTTGAATATTAAATGACAGCCGATTGGAATCGCACCACATTTTGATTCTTGCTAAGTCATCGTTCACCATAGCAGTCAGCATGACAGTGTCTCTATGATGCCAAACTATTGTGGTATCATCAGCAAAGGAAGTGCATAGACCAACTGCAACTACACCTGCAGGAAGATCATTAACATATAGTAAAAACAACAATGGCCCCAAAACAGACCCTTACGGAACGCCGGCGCTAACATTTAAGCTACCGGAAACGCTATCCCGAGAGACAACACTCTCCCCCAGTTTCACAATGTGTAGTCACCAAATGGTTAGCAGAAGACCAAAGGTTAATAAATAAAAAGTATTCCACATCATCTGGTCAAGCACCATTTTTCAGTTAACTTTAAGTTAAGTTGACCATAGGAAAATTATGTGGTTAAAATTAAACCAGAAAGGACCTAACCATAATTTTGGTTAACGTCTTGTCAAGTCTTGTCTTGTTGATGGGTTGTTCTTCTGTATCATGTTTAAACTGAATATGGATTTGGATGAAATTAATGCATTTAGCGTGAAGACGAAGATGAATGACGTAAAAAATAATTAAATCTAGAACTTAGAGCGCTAAAGCTTCTTTCGACTAATGCTCCACTTATTGGCAAGGTTACAAAAATATTTAATAATTCATACATGGCGGGAAAAAGGTCTTTGTCGCATAACTGCAAGGTCGTTAAAGCATCATCTGGCAGATTTTCTTTTTTGTTGTTCGAATGGACCTTCCACATATTTACTTCGCCTTCTAATTCGACCCAATTGGTAGATAGCAGATCTTCGTCTTCGTATGATTTAGCCAAATTCAATATCCTTTTTACACAATTGGGCGGATTTTTGAGGATCACAGAAGGTAGTAACAGAAAAATCGTTATATTCCAGTAATTCCTCTGAAAATCTTGTTTGGATGTCCATAATGACATTCTCTATCATTGGAATATATACTGATCTTCTTTAATATTCTTCTACGTTAACGGCTTCATAGTTGCCGGTGTACTTGCCTCTGTTCAATTCTTGCGACTTTCTGATCAAAGTTTTCCCTGCGTGCAATGATTTGAATTTCTTCATACAGGCGAGAAAAATTTACGTCGCTATTCTGTCTTTGTTCGTTTAGGATAGCCAAAGTGTTCTTTACTGCTTCAGATGCTCTGTATAAGTCTAGACCCGGAGTCTGAAGCAGACGACTTAATGGCAGTGTATTCTTTAGCACATCGCAAATTGAGCAAAGCGGTTGTGCAAAGAGTATTCATTAACACGAGTGCAGCTTTTGATGAAGTATTTTCATGCCAGTTGGATATCTCTGCCAATGCCTCAACAATTAGGTGTAATGAATCCCAGAAGACGAGAAATGAGTTGTGTCTTTGTACCCATCGAGTTTCACAAAGCCCTATATATCAACTGTCTCTCTAAAGAAGATGTCAAGACAAAGTTTCTCTTGGCTGACTGATTGAAAAAGGCCACGACTTCCTTGACAACCCCCGTGGACGTGGCATTTCTAATGCTCTGAATTTTTGAGCATTGGGAAACGGCAAGATTGAGCCTGTGATTTTGGCACGAGACATGCTTAGCGTTTCTAGCAACTGATTTGATTTTTGCCACTGCTCCTTTTTCCTCCGATGTCATTACAGAGCATCCGTCTGTACCAATACCAACACAGTATTTCAGGTTCACCTAGCGCGTTACCGGAGAGTTTCAATTCCTTTATTGAATTTGATGAAGTTGGTTCATCGTCTGACTCAGACAGCGATTGGAACGCGTCAACAAAACCAACAAAGTCTTCTCTGATTGTATTATCTAGATAACGTATGACTACTGTAATCTGTTCCAATGTGGGCTCTGTCAGTTGTCTCGTCGAAAATCAACGACCAATACTTTGCTTTTTGTACTTTATCGACTATTTTTGAGACGATTTCGTCTCAGCAACAATGTATAATTTGATTCTGCGTAGTTTTGATGTATATTGCGCGATTGGATGCACTTTTCAAGTTATTTCCCAATTTGATATCACCAGACTGTATTCGATAATGTAGTAATGCACGAAGATTACCTTCATTTTAAATTACTGATTTCTCATCCAGCAGCGGCCCATAGTCACGGTGACCTCTGAGAGGAATATTTTGACGACCCAGAAATATATTCGTCTCTATTTATGGGCTTCAGTCTATTACGGATTTTCTTCAATCTGACAAATTCTCGCTGTAGATAGTGTATTAACAATCTCTCTATTGGGATTGTGATAGGTTTCCAGAAACTGTGTGGCTCGAGTTACTGACTGTGATATTCGCTTTTGTTATGCATTTCCACCGGCCCATCCTTGGATGTTATATAATAATAATAAATATGAAATTGATAAGGGGTTGAATAACCAAATTTTTGAGTTTCATTCCCTTATTATGCCTCGCAGTTGCCCCCGCAAACATGCAACAAAATTTACAGAATATAAGCCTTTTTTATAATCTGAAAGAACTAACCAATTATATTTCTTCAAGTGATCTCTTGATAAATATCTTTTGACTATCTGATCCTTTCCTTTCTTGGAGTGTATAGAGTAAGGGAAGTTATACTTATCTTCCGGAACCCAAGGGTCTTCTAAAATTGACGCTTTTGTGAAATCATCGATGAAGTTTTGGTTAAGATGATAGCCTACGTCATCACGAAAGTGTGCTTCTGGTGACTCAGATCTATCCGCACCCACGGCTGTATAGCTGATGGGTTTTCTGAAATGATGCTGGTTGATGGATCCGCAGATTTATTTTGAACATTGTCATTTTCAGTATCTACAATCAAATAAAAACAAACTGATTGCAAGATAATAGCCTATTCTGCTCTAGGAAAACCACCATCCGCTCCTTAATGAGCTTTTCAACTATCTTGCTTAGCGTAGGCAGCAATGATATTGGTCGGTAGTTAGAGGGTAACTCTTTCTCTCTGATGGTGTGCAGACATCTCAAGTCATTGGAAGAAATTCTTAAGCCCTGGTAATTCATGGTTTTCTTTTTTGGGTTTTATATTTACAATGGGAAAAGTGGCATTAAAGATATCAACAAGTGTCAGGTGAAATAAGTGCAGAGCATTGTCAGTACAGTTTTATTGCAAATTCAACAATAAAACTCTCATTGGATCCAAAATGTTCCATCATATAATCCGTGATCATGTCATTGCGTAACTTGCTTAGAGATGAAGATTCATCTTTTGGGAAAAGCTTGGCGGCAACAAGATTACTGCTGTTTTTGGAGGGGTAGGGTTTGAATTCGAGTCGCACCAGTCCTTATTAGGTTTTCTCACCTCTGCAATTCGAACTTTTTCAGGGCGTTCCTTAAGGTATAATATTTCCGCCTGTTGTTCTTCATAATTAGGATTAAGATGTTCGTATGCAATTTGGAGTGCTCTGAGCTGTTCTTTGACTTCAGAAGCCAGGAGAGGTGATACATAAGCGCTAGATAAGTTATGAAGCAATCCTCTTTTTTTGGTGAGTTTTGTATATTTTTAACCCTCATGGCCGTTTTCACCAACTATTTTAGGGAAGCCTTAACGATAAGTATTCCCTCAAACTGATATTTCTCCATGGAAAACTGTCAGTTTAGGGAATTGTTATCGTTAAGGCTTCCCTAAAATAGTTGATGAAAACGGCCATTAACCCTCTATCGATTTTGGGACCAATTTTAGAGAGTTGGTATTCTAGAATACTTTGTTAAGTCCCCACTGGAAGATGGTAGTTGTACCCCAGCGAAAATCTCTACGAAAAAGAAAAAGGATAAAAACCTCACTCTTATTGAGTTTCTTAGTATTTTCAACCCTTGACCTCCTATACCGATTTCAAAACCAATTTGAGGATCCGAAGTACTCTAAAACACGCTGTCCAGTCGATGCTAAAAGATGGTGGTGGTACTTCATCCAAAATCTCGAGGAAAAAGTTAAAGAAGTCTTAGAAGTTTTTTTTTTTTTCATGAAGAAATGAGAAACAACAAAAAACTATACTCTTAAAAAAACTCTTTATTATCATTCTCAAAACACATAATGCAAACCACCTACCAAATAAACAAAACGTTCTACAAACAAAAACTTTTGCGACTAGGTACTACATAAAAAAAACTATATAAAGAGAAAACACACTGAAAAAGTACAAATAAAAAATTGATACATAACAAAATTTATATTTTTTCGCTGATTTTTTCCTCATACAAGTACAAGCCTTGGTAGTTGGTATAAGAATGACAACAATACGTTGTTAACGCCGTTGTTGAAAGTTATAAATCAGTTTCCTGACGCGTTTTTTTTATAAAGAAATGAAGAAATTGTTAATGAAGCGGCAGGCCTAGCTAACAGTTTATTACCAGAAAAGTGTCCAAAAGGTACCTATAAGCAATTATTCTTGTGATATAACTGGAAAATTACAGTTTAGCTGTTAATTTTAGGTCAGTAGAGCCAGTAGCTCGAAAAAATCAAAGCTGGTGTGGGTGCATGTTTTAACTTAAAAGAGTCACTTTTTGCCTTTGCTTAAGCCAGATTGACAAGCTCAAACTGTACTTGGATCAAGTACTCTTGGACGCTACGCGCGTCTCGCTTGGACAATACTTGGATCGTATCAACTGTTTGATCCAAGTTGAGTTGGATAGGTTTCACCATCCCTAAGTAGGTTGGTTACCAACTTACTTGGTCCAAGTTCTCACTTGGCTTTATTCATTGGAATTGAAGTATTTGCTTTGACTACCTATATAGCATCTGTTTTGATCAAAAAATGCATCACAGTTCTTTCTTCATATGTGTTTTTATTTTGACTTGACTCAATATATTGTTACTATTTGGCATTGGGGGTGCTAGAGGAGCACTACTGTTTACCGTTATTGACTTGCTTATATTTAAATGACTACTATAACCATAAATCGATATAGGGAGACACTCTTTAAAGCCTAATTTTTTATAAAACTCTTCCTGTCCTTTTGTAGTCAAATAAATTACATTTAAACCATTTTTTTCACAATAATCCTCACACATTTGCACTAAAATCCTACCATATCCTTTGCCTCTTTCTGTTTGTCTTATCACAACACTTTCCATAAAACATCCATGCTTGATACTTGGAATTGAGCTAAGTTTCAAATGCCCAATGAGTCTGTTATTTTGCAAAAGAATGAATGACACTGGTAGATCGTCGCAAGAAGACTCCAAACTGTGCAATCGAGCTGTGAGGCTTCTTTTCCATTCGCTGTTCAGTAGCTCGCAGCATTCTTGAAGGTATTGTGGGTGTTTGTGCAAGGGGACTAGTGAAAGGTTCATTATTTTTGCTAGAAAATACCAAATTTGATAAGAATAATGGCAAGATAATAACTGTTTAGAACTCCACCGCAATCAGGGTCTTGTTCTCTATTCCACAAAAAAGAGCTACTAAGTTAGACTCTGGCAGATGAAATTGCATTCAATCGACGGTTGCATTTTCTTCTGAATCTATGATGTTCCAGCAAAGAAATGTTAATATTTTGCTGATCTAAAATTCAGCTAATGTTTGGAAAATTTATATAGCTCAGACACTGACTCTGATTCCCACTGATTGAAAAGCTTAGGTAAATATCTGAATCTCAAGAAAACCTGATTTTTACATCAAATGTCATCGGTGTTAGAAGATATTAGGTTCCTATTTTGATTGTTTGAATTGAAAATTTTCTCCAAATGACTCAAAATAGGAATTGAAAGTTCTTGTAAATTTAAGAAATTGTTCTGAATTCCATTGTTTTATTTTTTAATAGTAATGAAAATTGGCAGAAGTTTTCCGAGCATTGAAGCTTTTTTTTTCACAATTTTAATCCTCAGGTCTTCCATGAGATTCATTTGAGAATGAGAAACGTACAAGAAAGGCCCAAAAAAACACAAATCACCACCAATGACCGAATCACTCGAAATGAGGAAGCCAGGTTATGTTTATTGTTTACTTTCTATTAGGACCAATTTTTGGAACTACGGTTGTTGCCTGGAACCTGAACACCTTGAATTAATTTGAATCAAGAGCTCATCAATTATCTTTATATTATATTGATGATAATTTTACCACCCTCTGTGCTATGTCTAATCGCGATAAAAACTCCCATAGATAAAAAATATTTTCATTTGGAATAGGGCTTATTGGCTCCTATTTGGTTATTGGTATTATATTGGTCTCGAGGCTATGTTAAAATTCTTACAAAGTTGTAACCAACATTAGTTTGTGGATTAAAACTCTTACCTACTTTAGAGAATCCGAATATATTCTCCAAAAAAACAAGTTGGATAAAACAATTAAGTATACCAACTCACCCAATTAAAACAATAACAATAAGTTATTAAAATAATAATAAGCTTTCAAGTTTTTAATTACATAACCCAAACGACTTAATCAAAATGAATAGGTTAGGGTTACGGTGGTTAGGTTCAGCTGCTGAACCTAACCCCAACCTGCAGCACAAAGTATTCTGACAAAGTGGCGTAGGTAAATGACAATCGGGCCTATGATTTATCATTCTGTTACTATAACAGGAAAGTTAAGTATTCTTGTCACTGTTTACTCTATACGTCAAAATAGAAACAGCTATAGAGGTTGAGCTTTAAGGCCCTTTAACATAGAAGTTAAAATAACAGAGGTAGGTAATGTAATGGAGTAGCAACTTTTCACATCGCCTCGAATCCATATCTTGACCGAACTTGTAATAATGAGAATGATATTGTCAAGATGCAACGGGCAACGGTTCAGCCCTGGACCAATAGAGAGAACATAACTGGCTTGAAATATGTATTGTTACATGTTCAAGAGCCTATTCTGTTTCTGTATGTAATTAAGGAGCACCAGGCAAAGCCCTCGCCCATCAGTAAGTAAGGGCGGGTGTTATTAATACTATTTTGACTATTTAACTTCTGAATTGATATCTCATCTATCATTTTGGGCAGCGGTATGTGACACAACTGATACAACAATTTCTGTTTTTGTCCGAGATTTAAACGCTAAGGGGTGGAAAAAGAAATGCAGACACATATGTGGATACCGTTGCACTGAACTGAATACATTTTAAATTTTAAATATTTGGGAATGGAAATCTCGTAGAAGAACCGTACACGAAGCATTTGAAGATCCGAATATGAAAGGACTGTATATCTGTACTGAATATTGTCCGTCGTTTTCAATCTGACACTTTTCCTATAGGGAGCAAGGGAGTGAAGCACATGGCAAAAACAGGTGTGACGTGACGTCAGGTGACGGTGACCATTGCGTTCTAACGTGGGGAGCCACTAGCTCACATTCCTTTGGAGTAGGTATCAGATTAAAATCGACGGACTGTACCTAGTACTATTAGACCAAAATATCAACAAAACAAACAAAACTAGAATATACCATACCTACAACACCATCGTCAAAAGCATGGTCCTATAGTTCATAGGTCTGGACCACTAAAGGACAAAACCGCGAAACTGCTGCTAGAAGAAACTGAAATGAACTTTTGGAGGAGAGCAGTAGGCAAGTGAAAAATGGAAAGGATAATGGTTTACTATCCTTGGCTTGGTTACACAAAAGTAGATGACAACTATCAAAGACATACATCAACTAATTTGGTTTGGATATGTACAAAGAATGGCAGATACAAAGTATATCCAAGTAAATCATTGACAGAGAAGAAGCTGGAGAAGTGAAGTAAACGGGGAAATATGAGAGATAGATGCTTCGAGGAGGAGCCTGGATTGACTGAGATGGTTGGAGATCGGGAATCGGAAGACGTAGAATGATATAGACCGTTAATTATTATAAGATTTCAGTTCAGTCCTTTAGCCTAACCGTATAAACAATGCTGAATCAATTGAGTACAAATTTAAACATCAAAAAAATCATCATTTACCTCCTATTATAACCTTGAAAGGGTTCGCGTGTAGGTAATAGCGGGAACCCATAATTACTAAAAAAGTAAGATGCGCCTTAGAAAATAATTATAACAATTATCTCGTGAAGTGTCAAGGTTACTAAAATAATGGAACAACGTTTAGTAGGTAATAAAGTTTTTTTTTTTGTAGGTATACTTGCTCCAGTAATCTTTTAGACTGGCCTTGTCGGTTTCGATGACAAATTTTGGTTACTATTGTTTTGGAATTATTGCCCTGCCCTTCAGAAATGAAAAATTGAATCAAAACTGTGAAAACAATGTTAGTGTTATTGTATTTTCAATTTTTTTTTTTGCTATACGAGCGCAAAGTATACTATTCCCGAACTGCTACTTACTTTACGCGTGCATGCGGAAAGAGAATAGTTTGTATTTTTTAATAAAAATACTAGTACTCTGGTACCTACTTGTTACATTTGATCTGTGAAACAAGCCCAGTTTTGAAAGCAGGATGTGCATCAGAGTAATTTATTTAACCGATCCCTAACAGAAATAAATCTCTTTCTTGTGGAAAATGTCGACAAATGAGAGAAGATCGTTTAACTAGCCGAGCCTTTCCAAATAAAAATATATCATAGTGAACGACATTTCAGTAAAGGAATCTAGTTTATTCATATTATATACCTAGTGCTAAAAATGTCAAGGTAGCGATTAGCGAATCGTTTTTGTTTGTCGACTAAATGCTTAGTATATTTTCCATTCGTTGGTATTTTTGCTTTTGGTATGGTTGGTATGGGTGCTTTTGTTAATGAACTTTCACACCAAAATTAACCCATACAAAAAAATGATAAATTTGATCAGCTTATCGAATACGGCAATAAATACATTTGCTAACAAAGGCAAACTGTTTTTTTTTTTTCAAACCTATAAATGATGATTAATATCTTCTGCATTTGTAAACTTAATAAATAATGTATTAACTACCTATAAGGCCTGGTTAAGCTAAAGCTATATCAGTGTGAAGTAAAATTGTTATGTTGGCATTACCTAGTTTATGTGATGGCGCCTCTTTGAATACACAACGCCTACAGATAGATGAGCAGCGTAACCGTCTACAGACATAAACCATAGAAAAATGCCTTTAAAAAAATATGCGATTAGTACCTGCCTGTCTATTTATTAGGTTAGTTAGTACCATCTGAAAACAGATCGTTTATCAATATCGTCCTGATTTATAGCTAATTGAAATCCCCAAAATATGAAAATCAGTATTCTGCGATAGTTAGGGAAATAGGTACCTATTGTTAACCTTCTATTGTCCATTTCTTAGCTTTTTTTAATAATTGGCCGCATCGATTCTTGCCCCTATGGTGAACGCTAGTGTTAGAAGAATGAAAATTATTATTGAGTAGGTACCTAGGTACCTACCTACTTGGGTAGTAGGTACTTCTATAAAACTATACAGAATCTTGAAATATACTTAGTAGAAGACAATTCAACAAAAAGCAGTTTGTGGTGGTACCATGTGGTACTGCAGCTATTACACCAAATTGGAAAAAAAAAATATTTAAAGAGTAGGAAGCTACCTAGGAAGGAAGCTACCTACCCTATTTGGGGGTTTCGGGGTTGAAATTAAAGTATAACTAGAGAAAATAAACATTTTACATATTTAATAGGACAACAGATTCTGTTGAACAGAGTGAGCAGATTATTACTCAGTGGCCTGAGAAACCAGATAGATACGGATAACGGAAGGTCATTCCAGGCGTTTGACAAGCACTTCTCCGAAATAAATATCATACCTTCTTGAGTGGTAGGTAGATATCTTCAAATTTGGGACTAGTGTGCTAATGCGAGCTGGTGGGCGATTAGATAGTTTTTATTACAGATTTGCATGTATTGCATTATAGCTGACATGCCTGGATTAAGGGGGGGCTAAAGGGGCTTGAGCCCCAGGCCCCGCAGGGGCCATACTTTTGGAAAACGCACGTTGGTTGAGGCGTTGAGGCTTATGCTGGTCAAGGGCCCGTGGGCAAACAAGAAATATTAAATGCCCTAGTCTCTCGCGTCATGTTTCGCAAAATTTCAGCCGAACAATTCAACCTATTTTTTCATTGTTAACAAAAAACCTTTTCAAACACAGTGGCATGACCAGTTGTAGCGACACCTAGCGGTTGTCCTACTTGTCCTACTTCATTTTGCAAGCATGCATCAGATAATCCTGGTATTCTTCCGATCTGAACAAACGGATTGTGATCACATAAGGTTTGTTGTAAGTGATTTCGATCAACTTGTTCATGTTACAAGTTAACAGGGCTGGGACTCTGTATTACAGAGTCCCAGCCCAGGTTCCTCTTCCGCTACCTGGAAAATCACCTAGAATACTCTTTTTTTCAAAATTTTTGGTGACAGACGAGATTAGTTATTGTCCTAACAAGTGCGGAAAGTTATACTTTAGCAAGAGTTAGGATCAAGATTTTTTCTACAAGCACACACTTTATATATTTTTTTAAATTTCATTTTGAATAACATTTTTAAAAAAATATATTTATCATGAATATGGATACTGAAAGTACAGTTCGTTTCATTAACTTTGATAACATGCGGGAAAAAAATAGTTTCCAAAGCAAAATGCGTGTGGGAAAGTGAAGTTTTACGCATGCTTGTAGAAAAAAGATATTTTGTCTTATTTTTGTAAAACATGTTGGTATAGCAGTGTCTTCTGTTAAATCAGGAATATAGTTTTTTTATATATTTTTTGCACTTAATTTATAAAGGGCCCCCTCAAAGTTCACTAGCCCCGGGCCTCATGAAAGCTTTTAATCCGGCCATGATAGCTGGCATACTAAACATTAAAACAATAGAGAGCACTTCCTAATAAAAACTAGGCTGACATTTGAAGATAATGTTTTGGTAGCAAGACAGTGTGAGATGGTGTGGTAGGAGGACAAGGCCAAGGCCCACTGAAGCGGAGGTTACTGCTGTGGCTAGACAATAAGGTACCTATATGCTATTTTTCCAAGTTTATTTTCGAGGAAAAAAGCAACATTCGAAGGAATAGTTTCGTCAGGCATATCTGGATTGTTGAGGCAAAAAAGAAGCATTGGCAGTCGATGTGGTAGACCAAATATAGTTTGGGTGAAATTTTTAAGTGATTTCGCATGTTAGTCGAAGAAGCAGATAAGATATTTTTTTGAAACTCTGGAGGTTATTGATATCAGACCAATAGGTGGACCAAACTCAAATATTCTGGCAGGTAAAAGCTTGTTACTGTTCACCTTTCTGGAAGCTTAATTAAGCCCAAATCAAAAGACCACTCAAGCTTATGTAGTGACAAAGGGTGCATTTAGGGAAGCAGTTTCTTTAACTAACACAAAACTGAATAAAAGTTTGATGGAGATCACAGTAGGTAAAAAATAAAAATAAAAAATGTCATTTAACGCAGAACATTGGGCATAAAATATCTGCGCACAAGAATATTTTAGCATAAAATATAGCATGACTATATTTGTGTACGTATACGCATCACCTACTATACATAGGAGAATCCGAAGAAATTTGGGAATAATTTTTGGACAAACTTTTCAGTAGAGGCTG